AGAAATCCAAGAATTTCTAGTCCTGCAGCAATTCAGTGCCAAAACTACATTAGAACTCTGGAGTCATATCCACATTTCTTTTTCTTAGAGTATTTGTCCCAGATGGTTGCTTACCCTTCCTCTGGGACAATGAGGATGGCCTTAAAGGAGACTACAATAAACAGGCCTCTGCTCACCGGCTTGATTCTGACCTGCTCTACCTCCCAAGTGGAAGAATAGGATGGCAGAGAGGGGCTCGCTCTTCTGTGTCTTGGCTCTGTCTTGGCAGGGGGGTCTCCCCAAAGAATAATATTGTGTGAGTCCTACCAGATCCATTTGTCCCTCTTGAGTAACAGGGATTTTTTTTTTTGGTAGTGAGGTTTTATATTTATTAAAGGTATTAAAGGTAGGAAAAGAAATATACTCTGCAGAGTGAGTGCAGGCCACTGAGGAAGGTTACTGTGGCCAGTAACAGGCATTTTAAGCAAGAACAAAACCCACGTGAAGGCAAAGAAAACACATGAAGGAAAAGCAACAGAGAAAATGGCAAAGGCCCATCTCTCCCTTGCTCTCTAGTTCCCCCATCCAGTCTCATTCTCGGAAAAAACATTAAAATTGTTCTCATAACCTCAGGGGAGAGTCCAGCCTCAGTCTGACTCTTCACATCCTCACGCCCTCCCGAGGCATCATGTCAGGCACTGTGTGCGATTCAGGATGACTAAGCCACTCTCATGGCCCACAGGGAGTACAAGCACAGGAGGAAAAAAGGCCCAGGAAAAAGTGAGCCTTCTTGGAGGGAGAATAATAATCTCTGAGCCCCAGGAAAGGCCCAAACAGGAACTGGGGGTTCTGGGAAGCAGGGAAGCAAGAGCTTGCTACCCTGCCAATATCAACCTCTGCTAGGTATACCTCTACACACACACCCCAACATCCTAGATCAGTGGGATGAGCTTACTGCTGAGAAAGATCCAAGTCAACAGTTATTAGTACCAACAGTAATAATAACAGCACCAATAGTGATAGCATCTTACAAGTAATGAATACATCCTGTGTTCTAGGTTTTCTTCATGTGTCATCGCATTTCATTTTTAGAACAACTCTACAAGGTATATACCACACTATCAGAACCTATTTTTAGAGATGAAAAAACTGAGCCTTATTTTTTCTTTCCACAAATTTTTTCAGTGTCTACCATGAACCTCATATCACTCTACCAGTAACAATGAGATAGGCAAAAATCTCTTACAATATGGACTATGATGTCTTACTAACCTTTCTTGTCACTGAGACAAAATACACAACATCCAAGTTAAAGAAGGAAAGGTTTGTTTTGGCTTACAGTTTGCAGATGTTTCATAGTTGGCTGCTTCAAAGCATAGCAGAGGAGCATCACAGAGGAGAAACAGTTCATGGTGGGCAGAAGGCAGCAAAGCAGTGAAGTAATGAAGTAGCAAGCGACAAGTGATGACCCTCTTTCTGTCCCTTATATCCTATCCAGGCTACTCACCCTTAAGGGAGTAGCACTCTCACACCCAGGGTGGGGAAGCTTTAATCCTAGCATGAATCATAAATCAATCCCAGCATCATGCCCTTGATCCCAGCATCACATACCCTAGATCCAGCCAACTCTGCAAAGCCCCACCTATGATCACATGAGGCTTTGAGGGGACATCTAGACACAAGCCATAACATATGGTATGTTCTCTTGGGAGATAAATTCTTCATCTAAGGGAGATACGATTCTAACTCAGCCACTCTGACTAGAGAACTTATATGGTACTTTCAAACTTCCAAGAAACAATCTGCCTGGGCCTGGTCACTGTTACTCACACTCATCATTAAAAGTAAGTCATCATATTTCCTCTATTGTAGCATGCATGACTTCTTCCCACTTTAATGGCTGGAAGCTGGCTCTTATTTTATAATAAATGTTAAAAGAAACCTATAGGCTGCAGGCAGAGAAGTAAATCATAATATAGCTATATTGTTCTTCAAGTGTGGTTTTAGCTGAACATGGGTTATTTGATCACCAACTCAGTCGAATTTTTTAACAAATGTTAAATGAAGTCAAACTTAAGGTTCTAACATTGCTTCCAAAAAGCCCACTATAAAACAATACTGAAAGAAAAAGATATTATGCATGCAAGAGATCACTTATCACATGCAATATAATTAAAGGGAGTGGAAATCACAAAATCTCCTGGAACAGTCACAGAAATTTCAAAACCTAAACAACTTAGGATTCAGATGACAATTGTGGGAAGTTTTTAGGTATTTAGATTGCAGTAACACATGAACTATTAAGGGAACATAAATTATTGGTTTAGCCAGCAAGAAAATGCAGACCAAACTTAATACTTTCTGAATATCTTCAAAATTGCACTGCTGATCTTACAGGCTCAAGAGCATAAATAATATGCTTTATGAAATGCATCACATAATTCTGAAGTTACACATAATTTCTAAAAACCAAATATTAAGCAGAGCTTCATTAAAGTGAAAAACACTTGAGGCAGGAGATTAGGGTGTAGCAAAAGCTGGCTGGGGAAGTAGGCGTGACCTGTTAATTACAAGATGCCCAACACAGGCATGGAACAGTTCCCAAAGCCCTCCACATGGTCTTTCTCTTGAGAACTGGTGCAGGTTTTCAATAGGATGGCCTAGACCTGACATCAGCCTGAGGTGTAGGATCTCAGCACCACCTCTCAGGACCCAGATGTAGAAGTTCTCATGGGTTTTCTTGAGAATTTGGACAGTATAAAAGAAAGGCAGCCATGAGGAGCCAGCCAGTGCTATCATAACCTTCTATGATGGCCCATGCTGTGCTCCCCAGATGTAGTGAGTACCTTTATCTTTGCTCTCATCCTCTTTTTCTAGTTACTCAGCCCAAGCTCACTCTGCAGAGCCAGTTTCTCTCCCTCTGTTTTTCCTTTCTTGAATAAACTTGTGCCACTGCTTTTTACACATTTTGTTGAATTCTTTCTTTGAGACAAGAAGAACCTGGAATCTAACTCCACAAGGAGAGGTGAGCAACCTGAATGTGGTAACATTTAATTGGCAAGCCACTTTTTTAGTAACAAGCTACCCAATAGCACACTTACATATTCTCTAAACTCTGCTTATATTCAGTATGTAAGCATATGGATTAATAAAAGCCACTATAGACAATTTTCAAGTGTGAATACTTAAACCCATGTTTCTTTGTTTCTAGAACGATGTCGTTAACTCAAGGGCATATTTTAAATGGTCAATGACAAAATTGTTACCACTATCATTATTAATGGTGCCTCAAAATGGAGGACAATGACAACTGCTCTAAAGTACTTGCCAGACATAGTATTTGGTGTTTTACATGTTTCCTAATACTCATGACAACACTATAAAGGAGGTATCTTTAGAATTTCCATTTTACATTTAAGGAAACTAAGGCCCAAATACACCCGTAACTTCTCAAGGTCATATAGCCAGTAAGCAGAGACTGGAACCAGATCTCCCTCAGTTCAAAGCCCCAGTAGTCTTCAGGGCACTACAATACCCCTCCCTACTAATAATCTACCCCACCCCACCCCACCCATGCATAGGAAGCACAGGTAAGCCTTCACTTGAAGAAAACATACTTAGGATCTCAAGCAGGATGGGCCAACATGAATTCAGGTAGCAGGGTCCCCTAAGCCAAACACTCCCAAAGTACTGATCAAAGTCACTATTTATATGACTTTCCATTTTCTCAATACACACTTTTGAACATGTTCAAACAGGCCTCAAATTAGCCAGTTACCTCAGCATTCACACAATCAACTGACTGGTTCAGTTCTTCAATTGTGCTAATCTGGTAGCAAATTCCAGAGACAACAGTAAATAGGCTGGGTAAGAAACAAAGGTGTCTTCTGAGTTTCTGAGGTTAAGACAGGAAGAGTTCTATGTCCTGGCCATGGGTCCCATTTTCCTTGGGAATAAATACTGTTTCACATCAGTATTAAAGGAAGTAGAGGCCTCTCTAAGCCCATGGGAGTCTAGCTTGCTGTGTTAATCACCTTCTGGGGGTCCATCCAAGGTTTCAGGACATGTGGTTCTAATAAACAATTACTTTTATTCTTGACTGAACTTTCCCAGGGTGACAGGTAGGGACTTGTGAGTTTTTCACTATTCTGTGGATATGGGCCACTGGGCAAGTTTCATCTCTGATGTACAATCCTTTTCAAGGTTTTTCCTTGACTATTCCCTAGAAAAGAATCTCACTTTTGGACACTAAGAGTGGACTAAGATATTCAGAATATTCAAGAAATATTTACTGAGCATTTCTGAGGATAAATAAGATAAGGTTCCTCCCACAAAGGAACTCAAGAGTGGCATGTGAGAGGTAATACTGCTCAGAACTAACTACAACAAACAGGAGGACAAGTACATGTTAACCTGGAACACAGAGGAGGAAGGGATTGATTCTGGATCCAAGGTCAAGAGTAAATCTCTTCCAACACTAACTGAGCATCTCCAAAGTACTGTACTAGGTGTTTTACACAGTTCATTATCCTATCTAATTCAGCCTCCACCCTGTGGAATCTGTTCTAATACAGTACCATTATCTTCATTTCACAAATGAGGAAACAGAGGAGAGGCAAAAGGCCTAGCCCAAGGTCACACAGTTCATTTGTCAACACTAGAATTAATACTTAGATCTGCTGCCCAGCACCTAGGCTTATATTATTTTCACTCCACACACTACATCTCCTGAAGCAAAGAAATTCCTGGTAGAAGAGGAATCTGAACTGTAATACAGGGACAACAGCAGTGCCGGCTTCACAGAACCATGGTGAAGGCTGGATGAAGTAAAGACCATAAAGATTTAGCATAATGTTGGCAAATGGTCAAAGTGCAGTAAACAGAGGCAGTTCTGCCATCCTTACCATCATCCCTGTCATTTCATCTTTACAGGCCCTGGGATGTAGTGGTCATGGGCCAAAATTACTCCCATAATCCCCTCACCAGCGAGGCTCCTGTTTCAACAGAGGGCCGAGCCATACCTTCTCTTCCGAAGAAACGGTCAGCTTGTCGCTGGATATCAAGCTGCACACCTGGTCCAGACTCAGACTGAGAAACTCTTCCCCCAGCATCACCTCTGGAAAGTGCTGCTCTGTTCCAAAAAACAAAAGAACACAAAGCTGAAACATACTCCAGCTCTTCTATGAGCCAATGTCACTACAGTCTGCAGAACTCAGAGCGCAAGCCTGGGGGTGGGAGTGGGTGGCAGAGGAAGAGGCAGCGAAAGAAGAAACACACAGGCTTCCTGACTGGAGGGAAACTAGCCTTTTAATTCAGCACCAAAGGTATACACCGCCCTGTGTGATCCTATCCTGAACATCAACACAGATGAAAATGGGGCAGAGAGATCTGAAGAGAACATTTTTTCCTTGTTCTATAAAATTAATAACGGCCTTGCAGAAAAGCCTCACGGGGACCTGCCTACATAATTGAGCTCATTTCCCCTCAAGCCATGAGCATGGTGCCCCCTGCAGCTCAGTCAAACAAAAATGGGTCAGAATAGCTCTGTATGGCTAGAAGTCTGGGGGTTCTTGTAGGAAGTCAACAGTAAGAAATCAGAAGATCCTTTCTTGCCCAAAGTAAAACCTATTTATAGTGAGTCACTGGTCTATTTGAGGAGGCCCAGCTAAGCTTCCATCCAGCTATGGCGGCAACAAGTTGGCCCTCCCACCTCTGGGAACAGTCCACAGCAGCCAGCCTGGGCAGTTATAAGATGAAGAAAATTTGGGAACAGCTAGAGCAAAGAAAAAACCCACAGGCCAGAGGTCCACAAGAGGAAAACGCCAGGGACAATTCCAACCCTAACATTTGCTTGGGCATCACCCTGCAATTACAGAATATTTTAACCACTGAAATGTCACCCACTTCAGAAAGAAGGAACCTAGTTTCAAATCCTGGCGTTGCCTTTTATGATCTGTGTCCTTGAGCCAATGATATCACTTTCCTGGGCTTTATTATCCTCTTCTGAAAAATAGGGGCAACATTTTTTGTCTTGCTTTACTCCCAGGCACTGATGAGATTGGATCTGTGAAAGTGTCTTATAAGCTCCTTCTAGGTGAGTACACCCAAAATTGGACAATCTGCCATTTAGCAGGCACTAGGGATCATGCTATCCTCTGACATTTGCACCAGGCCTTTCTCCTTTCTCAGTTCTCTCAAATCCTGCACTGTTGAACAGCATGTATACTCCTCATCCTCCTGCCTCTTCCCCTCCTTTGTTGGTGTCCTGCCTTCAAGCTGGTGGACTCTGGGATAATTGTAAAGGGCTAAACCTCCCCCTACTGAGAGGTGACCCCATTTGGGCAGGATGGTCTGTTAAATGAGATTCAGTGTCCATGCAGGCCTAGAAGGCTGCTAAAATATCAAGTCTACTGCAGCTGCATATTAAAAAAAGAAAATCAAAGCATGTGAAGCCTCTCTTTCACATTCATCGGCTTCTCAAAACCCAAATAACCTAAGATTTAAAGCATTTCTTGAAAAGCAATCATTTTAATTTTTTATACTTAAACAATTTCAGACTCAAAGTATAATTCCCACGTGAATTTCTGCCTTCATCAAGATTCCCTAAATGTTAATATTTTACTCTCAGAGTAAAAACAGTTTTTCTCATCTTTCACTGGAAAAAAAGTTCCGTACTTGTTCCCCATCAGCCTAATGAAATCACTGTGGTCATTATTAAAGCTTATCCATCCTTAAACTCAGAAATGTTTATACATAATAAGACAACCAAAAGTCAGGTTCTTTATGAAGAGCAGCAATATCTATAAAGCAGGTCTTTGCAAAGCTGGTCTTTGTTTCTCCATATTTCACTAAGAAAACTTTTCAGTTTTAGGTACTCAGGAGAGTCTTGCAAACCAGCACCAACATCTCTGTGGTTCAGAACCACATCTGGCCTTCCAAACTTTATCTTTGGAGAAGCAAAAATCTGATGCTTAGAAGAGGGAAGAGAGGAAAGAGAACAAGCAGAGACAAAAAAGTAAAACTGTGTGTTGTGAAACAAAACCAATGACTTCCTTTCAGCTCAGGAAGCCAAAGTAGACTGGGATTGGATTTTAAAAAGGAAAAAGAATCAAGTGCAGTAGTACATATTCCAAAAGTGGTCTGATGAACAAACCAGAAATGGTCATAGATAAATGAAGGCTGAAAGTAGTCAGCCTCCTACATCTTTCCATCTCTCACCCTGTGGGGCACAGCTGGATTTGAATCTAGTTCCCTTCTTTCTGAAGTGGGCTGCTTCTTTGTCCATGAGCAACATTCCACTGAAGCCCATTCAGAAATCCTCCCAGGATGTAGTGTCTGGTGGGCAGGGGGCAACAAGGGAAGTAACAGGTAGCACCTGCTCATCCAAGCCTGGTACCCAGGGACCCAGGAGATTTGCAGGGCATGAGCAAGAAGAGAAAAAGAAAGGATCAAAGAGGAAACGTGCTCTTCCCACCATCTTGGAACCTATGAGGACTGCTGGGAAGAGGACTTCTAAAAGGCAAATATGTCTGAAAGGCTGTGGTGCAGGGCCACTTTTGCTGGCTGTAAATGAGGTCTCTGAAACCAAAGCAAGCACATAGCTCTTAAAACCGAAGGTGTTTAGGGCCAAGATGAAACTGAATTCTATTTGGGCAAGAGATGTGCTTATGTATACAAAGCAGAGAACAACACAGGGACTCCTGGCAGCAAACCAAACAAAACCAGAGTAATCTAGGGAATGAGAACTCATGCCATGGAAACAGAGGCATAGTCTGTGCCAAAATTGGAAGCAATCTTCCTGTAAAGGCCACAGAATCTGTGTGATGCTATACCCCTCAAGGATTCAACTATGAAAAGTAAATAAATAAAAGTGGATTTGGAAAGGAAGAAAGAAAGAAAACACCTTCTGTCTTTAGTCTGAGGAAACAGGTTGAGCCCCAGAGTCTTTGGCCCAGAGGCCCTTTTCTGTTAGCAACACTTAAGAAACAACAGGATCCCTGGCTAATGTGATTTCCTGGGCAATAGGAATTCCCCAGAAGACAGTGTACACAAGCCAGCCTTCTTTGCAGCTGCTTCCCAGAAAGTACCCACTTGCCTCCAGGCCGTACTTTCTTGAGAATCATCTTCTACTTTTAACTATTATTTGGTTTTTGTTTTTCTTTGCCTTTAATATATTAACAGAGAACAAGGTTAAGTCCCTTAGCTAAGACAAGACCTGGGTTCGGCTCCTATAGTCACTTCTTTCCAGACTTCAGCTTCCTTGTCCATAAAACAGAACCATAACTAATAACTGACAGGTCTTAGGATTGTTTTGAAGCCACCCAAAGTAATAATATAGACTAGCCTATTTTAGAATTTTTAAGAAGCTCTTTAGAAATGAAGGAAGGACAGTTATTATTGGCCCATGTTCTTGTTTCAGAGAAGCTTTTGCTCAGCACGAGACATGCTCTGGGACTGCAGGGCTGTGAACAGCATGGTCTTAAAGGCTAAGTTTAAGTTCACTGAATTCAATAAACTTTCTAGTGATACAAGTTATTCAATATCCTAAGGCTGCAGTTTTCCCAACTATTAAATGGGACTAATAATAGTATGTATCTTATAAAGGTGTTATGGGCATTAAGTAAGCAAATACTTAAAAACTCACATTTACTGAGATCATTATAAGGACTGTTAAGGTATGAAATACCAAATGCAGCATCTCTCATTAAAAAATGAAGAAACCCAACCTAATGCTTACAAAGGGGCCTACTGGCTCATGAGAGAGCTAAAACTTCCAACCCAAAGTCCACAGGCCATGACTGGGAGTAATGCTTCAAGGATAAACAAAAGCAAGGGAGCAGGAAAATTCAGAGCATGTGTAGACTGCACCAACAGTGGAGTCCACCTAGAGCCTGGGCTGTCTTTGGTCATCTAACAAAGGTTTACTGAGCATTCACTAACGAAGAGAAACCGTGCCAGGCTCCTAGGAATGCAATGGACAGGCAAGGCTAGACCTTGGGGGAGAGGGGTACGGCATCCTTTATTAACCAATGTTGAGAGGATGAGAAAACAGGTGGCACATGCCCAGAAAGGTGCTTTCTTCAGAGGAACAGGTGGGTCTTCTCAAGGAAGCAGGCATGAAGAGTGTGCAGGCAATTTCTAATAACAGCTAACACAGTGCTAGAAATTTTCTATATACTATGCCATTTAATACTCCCATAAAGCTCTGCTGAGGTGAAAAATCAATCTTTCCATTTTATAGATTGAGAAACAAAAGCTCAGAAAGCCTAAGTCATGTGCTTGGGTTCACATAATAGTAGTTGTAGAGGCAGATTTTGAAATTAAGGTTGTCTGATTATAATAACAAACATTCTATTGAATTTATCTTAGTCCTTAAGATCATCAAAACAAGTCATGAGCATGCCCCTGGGATGAAATTTAATATAGACATCAGAAAACTGTAAGAATTCCTTTCAGGGGAGAAGGTGTGGGGAGAAAGAAAGAGACAGAGAGACAGACAGACAGACAGACATAGAAAGGATATAAACCTAAGAATCTTTCTTTTAAAAAAAATCCACGAAACCAGATGAAGTCATATTCTTCAATAGTTACAAAGGCCCCCAGTGAGGAAGTAATTATTGTCATAGCCCTAATCATGCTGCTTTATCATATGAGGCCTTTCTGTCAAACTGGGACTGGGAGTCCCATGAGTGCAGGCTCTAAGTTTGTGTTGTTTGACACTAAAGCCCAGTGCCCATCACAATATCTACATCTATTGAGCTCTAGAATGATACTGCACTTCCAAGCCCATTCTTTTGACTGCCTATGGCTCAGGCAACTTCCCAAGCTATCCCCAAGCCTGTTCCTCCCTCTTTTATGGGATGAAATAGACCAAAGCCTTTTATCTGGTTCATCTAAGCCAGTGGTGGTGGACCTATGGCACGTGTGCTGCAGTGGGCACACGGAGCCCTCTCTGTTGGCACACAAACCAAGTGTATGAGTTGGTTTGCTTGGGGTTTTTTTCCTAAACAAAACCTCAGTATTCAGGTTTAATTGCAGTGTTGGTACTTTAAGATAAACAAGTAGGTTTTAGGTTGCAGTTTGGTACTCTATCTGTAACAGGTTCACCATCACTGATGTAAGATACAAACC